ATTATTGTTACCTAGAAATTTGTCGTCTAAAAATTTAAAGGGCTCAAAAAGCTTTATGCTAACAAATACATTATTAAATTCGTTGTGAGTTGTGATTATTTAATGATTGATGAAATCATAATTCGCTCTTATTCTTTTTTTACCTCTTAGTTCCGATTTTTTTTTTTTGAGAAATATTGTAGGTCCGGGAGAAACAGTACCAGTAGCGGTTGATATGGCAGCTATGGATGCACTGATGAGATGTTGGGGGATTACAGCAGATAAAAAATTTCCATTTTCCAACTTGGAATCTCTCAGCGATCTTGATCATTTCAGTAAACCACATTATTCTCTTCAAGAAATCTGCAGTCCGAAGTAAAATTTTCATAATTCTCATAAGTCAACGCATAAGTGATATACAGTATGTTTACGTTTTAGCTGCAATGTTTTTGTTGCGTTTTTGCAGTTATGTATTGAAATTCGTTGACCTTGAAGAGGAACAGGAACCACTTGATGTGAAAGACGTAGCATTGAGATATAGAAAGGAAATCGAATCTGTGGTATAATCTTAGTTTTCTTAGCTATTCAAATATTAAATTTCTGAATTTTTAACTATTTTCTTATTAAAGTGAGGATTTTCTGTATCTGCCTATCAGTTTTTTCACCATTCACTATGGTTCCGGTGCTGAAGAAAAGCAGTTTGTGAAATTGATATTTATGCTTCTGCTTGTAACTGGTACTTACTGATTTATTTTCTGTTCATGTTCATGAGCTTCTGTTGCGTGCAACAGATTAAAATTTACGGAACTTATTGTTTTTTTTGTAGTCAAGTGCAGATTGGATTGTGTAGTATTCATCTTCATTTTGTTATAATTTTTTGAGCATAGCATATGTTATAGTACCATAATAGTACAGTATAGATGCAAATTTTTCAGCGTTTTGAAGTTTCGTGTAACTTCAGTAGTTGATATTCGTATTGCTTACATTGATTTTTAAACAAGCAGCATGTGCATACTCATGTGTATGTTTATTTCAGGTTGGCACTCCCTTGCGACGTCGATTGCGTCACAAGTTTTCACGAGGTACATTTGGTAAACGAAGCTTTCGATACATGAACAAACCCAAAGTTTATCAGATATGTTAACTTGTTTATTTTTTATTGTTATATATTTTTGTAAAGCTCGTAAAAAATAAGATTATCATTTATATGAAAAAATTTCTTTTCAAAAGAAGGGAAGAATCAACATATTCTTATGTATTTGTGCGAGCAAAATGTCTTCGGTTTTTGATTGATAAAAGTTGAAGTTTTCATGCAAACACGCGAAGATTTTGGACAACACATTGCAAACCATAATTAACTCATAATGGTAAGTGCAAGTATCAGCTAACTTTACGCACGTTGAATTCTGCATATTCCATCTGATCTGAAATTTAAAATTGAAATATCCCCGTAATCTTTGCTCATTTCCTTTTCATGCATTGCGAAGGGTCAAATCAGAATTATACATTCTAGTTCATAGATCAACTTTTTACTACTTTATTCAACAGTTGAAGTTTCAAAATTCTAAAATAGAGTCACAATCCTCATGCGAACTCAGCATATTTCGTGCCTGTTATTATCTGTAGTATTTAATTGACTCCTTCAGCAAACTAAAAAACATTTAAAATTATTTAAAGCTCGGGAAGATCGTTTCGAAAGAACAGAATTTTTCAAATGCAGTTTTGCTGAACGGTGAAAAACCCCAAGCAGGAGTTTTCACCGATCAGCAAAATCAGGGAGTGCACCTAACGAACTACCCACATATGTTTGTGGATGGTCCCATAATTGCTTAAATTCAAATTGATAGCTCAGAAATCATAATTAAGCATCATAATTCTACTTTTTGAAAAGAAAGTGGAGGAGTAAAGTCGAACAAACTTCAGGATTCCATCGCAGCTTCTGTCGAGTTGTTTAGCTGAAGAAGAGGTAGCGCGTGGATGGGAGCATTCCGGGCATCATTCGGGTGCTTTTCACAAGAGCCTTCATAAGCAGCCTTGATTGCAGAATTGATCTCATTCTGACATTGCATGAGCAAACACTCCCGAGGTAGAGGCATGAAATTAGATAACTGATGAAAGTGATATTGCAGATGCAAACAGTTATCAGCTTGTTGCTCGGAATGTCGGGCAGATTTTTTCGGTACGAGACTGAGGTGTTGAAGGTGCATCAAGTCCTTCAAGTACCTGGCATACTCATCGAATATTTTATCATTTCTTACCTCATCAGGGAATTCATCTAAGTCGATTAATCCTTGCCTGCTTCGTTGTATTAATGAATTCCTTTTCAGTATGAGCTGCTGCAAATAAGCCATTTTAGCCACGAATTCCATGTATTCCAGCAGTTCAGTGTTATTTACCGGTGGAAACATTTGCAGTAATGTTTCCCACCTTATTAAATCAGTATTGAAATTGTGAAACAAGTCGTAAGTAATCAGAATTGGGTCGTCGTATATTTGTTTGTTGCCACTTCTTTGGTTGAGCGAATGCCACATTGTTCGAACGCGCGGATAATCACTGCTTGGCTCAGTTGCCTGTTCTCCCATCTGAGCGTAATCCAAGCACTTACCGCAGCTTTCAACTGAATCTGCGTTATTTTGTGCGAATAGAAATTTCTTTGGAAGGTCAAGTTTTATCTTTTCGCCTTTTTTTCCATCCATTCCTCGCACAATCTGTTCTTCAGTTGCCCCAAGCATTTCGGCAATGTTTGCTTCCGTTCGCTTATTTGAAGCTAACATTTGCATTGTCTGAAAATGTGCTCGAAAGTTTCACTTATTTTTTATTATTATCAAAAAACAGTTTTATAATTAATCAATCAATAAATGAATAAATTACCTCATTATCCCCCCAAACTGAGTGTGCAAACAGCATGAGCGAATTGATCAGATATACTAATATCAAATATGGCATTGACGTTGAATACTGCGTGACGAATGCAATAGCCACACGTTGTAATGAAATCACTGAGTAAATGAATTACTGAGAAAATCAATGAATAAATAGTAGTGTTAAATATTGATTTGCATTTAATTAACATAGTAATTAATACGCCCCGTAAAATGATTATATTAGAATTAGCTGGCAATATTGCACTGAAAACAGTCTGTCCCGCTTTATGCTCATTCTCAGTCCTTTTTTCTCCCAAAAAAGGCAGTGATAATCTGATTATCATCAAAAAGGCACCATTTGGTGTGCTGCTCAACTCCAATTCCAACTATTTGCCCAAACATCGATTTTTTTTTGGCGTAATTGTGACGTAACTCACAATACTGTACACCCATGAGTTTGCAGATCAGTACTGTAGTGCAGCAGATGTAAATAGCAATGATGAATTGACTTTATTAATATGCGATTTTTTAAAATTATAATGCCAAAAAAGAAAATGGTTACTGTATGAAATTAATTTTCGACTCTTTGAGTGTTTTCAGCTCGAAGAATCGAAAAAATTGTCGGCAGTGTTGAAAAAAGTATCTGGAAGTCAATTTTTTAAAATATTGTCAGGCAAATCAGAAGTTGGCTTTTGAAAATTTGCTAGCAAGCAAAGTTTTTAATTATAGAAATTGCCATTGTGTGAAAGTGAAGTAATTAGAGTAAGTGGGGAATAAGTCACTGATAAGAGTGAAATGATAAAGTAACTTATCAAAGTATTGCTTGAGCTGAATGCTTTTAAAATAATTTATGCAGAAATTGGATTTTGAACAAAGTTATGTAAATTAGCTTGCACTATTTCACATTTCATTTATTATGCAAAGAATGGATAAGTTATATTTTAGAAATTGCCAAAAGAGCACGAGTCGATTTTCACGAATTTTCGTTAGTACTTTCCGACGTGACAGGGACTATAATCGTTCACGTATTGACAACGTATCACTCAAGTTTTGAATATCACTAATTATCATCAATTGCACATTGTAACTTATTAAAGTTTGTTACAGCAATTGGTCATCCATCACTTGTTTAGTTGCAAGCACAAATTTATCACTACGACAAGACGGCGCAAAAACGTATGCTTCGCCATAATTTCTTGCCTCGTCCCTCAAACATCACAGTGCAAATTTCGGAAAAAATGTGCAATTCTAAATAAATTATTTGCTCCAAATTTTTTCGATTTGCACTCTCTAAAATTCAAAGTAATACTTACAATTTCATTTCAAATGTATACAAGTTTTGAAATGAACTTTGAACTCAACCGAATCTTCTTGAAGACTAAAATTCTCATTGTACAACTGGTATGGTATGTTTTCTGCTAAAACCGGTTTCATTTGTTTGCTTTTTTTAATGATAGAAATGCTGAAGTGTGACGAAACGTGACCTTTGACGAATCACGAGAATATGTCATAAGTAAATATTTTAAATATTAATGCAATGTACTGAAATGAAAGACAAAACATGCATTTGGTTGACAAGTATAATTACAAAAGTAATAATTTCGAGTACATTACAAAAGTCAATGCTGAACT